TATATGTATGTATATCTTCCCATGTATTTCAAGACATCTTAAATTACTTATAGTACCCAGTGAAATATATTGCTATAGAAATAGTTGTTTAGGAAATAATGAGGAAGAAAAAGCATTTATCTACTCAATACAGATACAATTTTTGTTTTTCAGAGTATTTTTGATCCATGGTTGCCTGGATGTATGGTACAAAATACTGACTATATTACAAAACATGTAATTACATTGGATACTGAAAAAATAGAAGTTGAGTTATGTAAGCCAGTTTTGTAATATTGACTCAGCATGTGACAGTAGGTAAGTCAATGAATTTATCCAGGTATTAGATTAGTCACTTGTACAAGGAAACAACAAAATAAGTGGGTTCTCTAAAGTAACCCTTTTCCAGTGGCCTATGAACTTTAGAAAATAGCCTGAAGTGTCTATGCATATATAAAATCAAAATATGTTTATTATAGAAAGTGTTCAAAGTACTTCAAAACAGATAAGAGAAAAATGACAAGTCTTACAGACTCACTACTCTTTGGGGAATGGCACAGGATCATCACAGAATTTTGTACTGGGAGTATTTAATTAAGCTTCTAGTCCCTGGCCAGTGACCTTGACAAATTATTTCTTTGTTCGGGACTTTAACTTTTTAAAACTCAGTGAGGACTCTGTTTTTACAACTCATTCATATAGGATAACATGTTCATGTTTATGATCGAGAAAGAGATTTTGACATTGTCTAAGATAAATAATTTTATCTTGGTACCATACTTTGGATATTAATCACATAAGAAAATAATAAGGTCTATTAGAAAAAAAATCTAGACAAAATGTTTATAGTTTGCTGGCAACAAAAGGAAACTAGTCCAGCAAAGAGTAAGGAGCCTGTATGTAGTCAGATCCAGTCTACATTACTTTTTGCAGTACTAGGGATTTAACTCAGGCAGGGCCTTACATAAGGTAGTCAAATAGTCTATGTTTCCAGAATACTTCATTACTTCTTATCAGAAATTTTGCTCTCCCATTTCAGTAGCTTAGAAGGATATATTAAATATGGAACAAGGTAGAAAAGATTATAAAGGCTATATTTGTACATGTTTCTATTTTCAGACCTGTGATATTCGTGTTTTACTCATACGATGTTATGCTTACTTTTCTATAAAAGTCAAGACCACTATGTGAATCACGTATGTGTTTTCAAACTTTATCCTGTAATGCTTTAGTCCAGGGCAGCCTCGCCTCTCAAGAGTGCCTAACTGAGAAGACATGAGGCACCAAGTCAACAATCTTTGTCTTCTTTCAGTGACTCATACTTTATCTTAAGGGCATTTTTAAAATAAACAACTTAATATTTTGTAGTGGTTGATACATTGTGTCAACTTGGCCGGATGACTCCCTGGCACTGTTCCTGCTGGTGGGGGTCCCACCCTGGGGCACAATTGGTTCTGCCCCCAGAGTGACTCAGTACAAAGAGACCATATAAAGGGGCTGAGGAAGAAGTCGATCTTCCACTTCATCGGAGGAACTTCTGTCTTCCCATTCAGCTTGGACTTCATTGCCTGGCTTGCAGCACAGACTCTTCGGCCTCCGGCTTGGATCCTTCACCTTCGGTCGCAGACTATAGCAGACTCTTCAGTCTTCCCTCGCAGACCCCTTAGCTGATGAATAGAGACTTGCACAGAGCACAGCAGTGAGCTTCAGACCTTGGGACTGAACTCCTCAGTCTGGGGTGTGCAGACACCCTCTTCACGCTCCCTCATTAGACTCTGCGGCCGACTGTTGTAAACCAATCTTGTAATTCCTTATATATTATATAGCTTGTGTTAATATCTGTTCCTTATATCTGTTCCTCTATGTAAAACCCTGACCAATACATAATTCAAGCTAGGGAGTGTAACAGGGTTGAGAGTGAGGCTGACTTCTTAATAGCCCTCTCAATGTATGGAAAAGGGTAATAGACCAGTCATTATTCTAGATCCATTTCAATCTCTGGTATGGTTGTCTGAAAGTCCTAAATCTTTCTGGATGAAAGCTTTTTATTTTCCTGGGGAAATACTTCAGGCTTTCTCAGCTCAACAAATCTTGTGTAGATGCTCATGTTCTGCTTTTGTTAAAGGGAGGATCCCATGCAGCCTTATTTCTGTTACACATACTCATAACTTGATGCCTTCTCCCAGGCAAAGATTTAGTGACATGCTTAAAACGAGATATTGCAAACCACTCAGCAGGTAGCTTCTGGAAAAGCAATGCTTCAGAATTGGCTTGGGGTTGCTGAAATGATTTGCTCACTCCAGGAGGCCAAAAGGTAAGACAGAATGACAGTCCAGGAGGCCAAAAGGTAAGACAGAATGACAGAATGAATATATATATATATATATATATATATATATATATATATATTTGCTTTTTCATCTTTTACTTATTTATTTGGTATTGGTACAAGGTCTAGCTATGCAGCTCAGACTCCTAGTGATTCTCCTGCCTCAGCCTCCCCTGTGCTGGTGTTCCAGGTTGTTATGGTTCGTGTCTAGGTGTCCCCCCAATGCATCAAGCAGTCATGGGGTGGCTTTCTGGAGTTTGTGATTGATTACTGTGGGTGTGGATGCTGCACCTGCCCTGGAGCAGGTAATTTGCGATACACTGTAAGGAGGGATGAGGGGCTAGCTAGCCGACTGAGCAGTTACTGCTCCCTTTTGCTCTCTTGATCTTTGCCACGGCCATGAAAGGTTGCCCTCTGCTATGTGCCACTCTGCCTTGGAGCCAGCTGAGTATGGACTGAAACCTCCAGTAACTGTGAACTATATAAGCCTTTCCTTCCTTTATTTTAGGTGTCAAGTATTTGTCCCAGCAATGAAAGAAGAATAACTGAGACACAGGTGTACACCACTACCCCTGGTTCCAGCGGTCCACATTGTACAGGGCCAGCACTGCATGTGGTACCAGGGATCGAACACAGGTCCTTGTGCTTGCCAGGCAGGTACTTAGCCCACAGAGCTATCAAAATGTTTGGTTGTTGTTGTCAAAGTATAGGAAACTAAGGTACTAAATGATTTAAATCTGCCTTAGTTTATCTTTTCCCCTTCAAGATGGTAAACCTGTGTGGGAAAAATCCTTTAGGTTTTTTTGGTTTAAAGATTTTAAACTGTTAGCCCAAGCCATGTTCTATGACTTGTAAAATCCAATGGATGACTTGTAAAATTCAATGGTCCTACAAGAT